AACAGTGATGGCAGAGGAGATAAAAATAATCAAGTAAGAGTGACCTGTGGTCTTTGGTGCTCAACAGGGCTTTTGATCTGTGGTCATATTTAATGTTTCTGGAGAGTCTGCCAGCTGTGGGGACCTTGGAGAGAATCCGGCCTGTTGGATGGGGGAGGAAGCTGCAGCCCAGAAGTTGGGTGGCTTGCTGGGCCCGGCGTGGAGAATGCAGGCTCTGCGCTCCCCCGGCGGCCTCTCCTGACGGTTTACACCCAGCTGGTATTTCCCCCGCTCATTGATTTTGGTCCTGCCGAAATAGCTCTCCAGTGGGCCTTTGTGCTTATCCTTGTGGTTCCCAAGATGGCCTGCAGGCTGCCTCTGTGTCCACCGTCGTCACTGCTGTGGGGCCCCTCCCTAACAGGCAGTGCTGGCCTGCTCTGCTGGAAGCCCTTCGTGGCTCCCTGTCCCCTACGCTGTGTGATCTGAGCCTCTCGGGCTGGCATTCAGGGCCTTGCCCTCTGGTCCCTGCAACATCGATGGCACCCTAGCCCCTCACCACTCACCCCTAGGAGGCAGTGGCTACCCAACCTCATACACCCTCTGCCACACCACCATATTACTTACCTTCCCCACAAAGTCCAGCTGCCCCCACCTCTGGTGTTCCCTCAGCCTGGAATGTTCCCTCTCCCTCAAGACCTGGCTCTATGGGCATCACCCCCCGCCCCCCAGCCCCTGGCTGAGTCCAGGGACTTCTTCAGGCCCTATAGCCCCCTGTGCTGATGCCTAAGGTGCTCTTTATCTTGCCCTCTTGTCGTTGTCTATGTGTGTCTTCTCCACCATGTGGTGACTCAGATCTCCATGAAGACAGGATTATGTGATCACCTGTGCACCCTCAGTGCCTGGCACCAGTAGATACATCTGCAGAAAGGATGGACGGATGGATGGACGGACAGATGGATAGATGGATGGACCAATGAAAGGATGAGCAGACAGATGGGATGGACACATAGATGGATGGATGGGTGGACGGATGGACGGATGGACGGATGGATGGCTGAATAGAGGAGTGAACATTTTGTCTGTTGCCCTCCTCCACCAGTCAATGTCTAGCAGGCCTGCCCAGAGGTAACAGGAGTCAGCAGGGGGCCTCTTGCATCCCTCTCCTACATAAGAAGTCAACAACTCAACCCTTCTGTCTGTCCTGTGTTGGCTCCTCAAAAGCAGAGAGAGTATGATAAAATGGCTAAAAAGGCAGGATGGGGGTCACACAAACCTAGCTTCAGTCACAGCTCTGCCTTTAGCTAAGCCGGCTGCGTGACTTTGGGCAAGTGACTCCACCTCTCTGAAACTCCATTTCTTCATCTGTGTGATGAGGATCCGTGGTCCTCGCCTCATGGGGTATTATAAGGATTAGATGAGGAAATGCATGGTGGGTAACCAGCCCAGAGTTGGTGTCTTGTACCAGCTTAGTGAACGCATGGTGACTCTGTGAATCTGGACAGTTTTGGTTGCGAGAATCAGAAACCTGGCTCGACCTGGCTTATAAGCAAAGAGGGCTGGCTCCCCAAGCTGAAAAGTTTGCAATGATCCGAGTGGCCAGGCTCACTGGATCACACCCCACTGTGTTTAGGAATTGGCTCATACCCCAATTCCTAAAGTTGGGGTGAGGTCAGCCCACTAGCTGGGGGAAAGCTGGGTCTCCTGAGGAAAATTGGGGCACAGTAGCCAGAAGAGGAGGAGTGGATGCTGGGCAGGCAGCAGCGGCCATGCCCACGTGACTAAGTGTGGTGGGAGCCACAGAAAACTGGAGGCCCCTTTTATGGTGGCCCAGGACCTGTGGGCCTGTGGTGCTTGGCCAGCCCCTCCAGGGCTCCCCCTGCCCTCCTTGGGTGGGAGTGACCTCTGACATTCTCCCTGAGATCACAGTGGCCTGGCCAGAAGAACCCAGGAAAGGGGTTCCTGCCCAGACCCCACTAGCCTTGAGCTTAGCTGGCCCCTCCCCTCCGTGGGCCCATCTCCCCATCTGTAAAATGGGCTCATTGGACGAGATGATCTCTGAGGTCTGCTCGCGATCCAACCATAATAAGCAGCCTCTGGCATTCATCGAGTGCCCATGTGTGCCAGGCCTGGCTGGGCACAGAGGAGTCAAAATGAGACAGACAAGCCGCTGCCCCACAGGACCCACCGTGGTCCCTCCCCAGCCCTTTCCACCACCTCTCTGCTTCTCCTTCAATATTCGTTATAGAACCAAAAGGTGTTTTTAAATTGTTTTATTTATTGAATATAGTTTAAACATCCAAAGCATCAAGTCAAATGCTTTTTTTATTTCCTGCATTAAAAACCAAAACCTCCAAATCTCTACTACCCTCACAACATATCCAGAATCTGACCCTTTCTCGCCACCTTTACTAGTCCTGCCTGCCAATCTGAGCCACCATCACCCCTGTTCTGGAATCATCCGGTAGCCTTGTCCTAGCCCCCAGCTTCCTTGCCCACCCCCCACATCTCAACAGTCCCCTCCCCACACAGCAGCCTGAGAGTCCTACCACCTCTCTGCTCTAAACCTCCAAGAATGTCCCATCTCACTCAGAGTAAACTGGTTAAAGAAAAACCACCACCATAGGCTCTTCTCCCCACCCTCAGCCCCAGCCCCAGCTCTGGGCTCATTTCCTGCCGCTCTCCAACTTGGTCATGCCATTCCAGCTACGTTGGCTTCCTTCTTGTTTCTCAGCCACACCAGCACAGTCCCACCTCAGGGCCCTTGCACTCGCTGTTACCCCTGCCTGGACCACTCTTCTCCCAGATACCCTCCTGCCTCACTCCCTCACCTCCTTCAGGTCTCTGTTCAAAAGTCACTCATCAGAGAGGCCCTCCCTGGAAATCCTAAGAAAAAACCTCTCTGCCCCCTCCCTTGGCTGCATTTTTCTCTGTAATGCATCCCACCAGGCAGAGTATGTTTTATTTGTTGTCTGCCTTTGCCCACTGGAATGTCAGCCCCATCAGAGTGGGAACTTTATCTGTCCTGGTGAGTGCTGTATTTCCAGTGCCTAGCGTGGTGCCTGGCACGTATGGGTGCTCACTAAACATTTGCTAAATGGATGAATACGAAAGTTCCTTATGTTCTTTTTCCTTATGTGGGTCGTTGGCTTTATTCCGTGTGCCAACAGCCCACAACTTAGAATGGTTCAACTTACGATGTTTCAACTTTACGATGGTGCAAAGGCAATGTGCTTTCAGTAGAAACTGTACTTCAGATTTTGAATTTTGGTCTTTTCCTGGGCTAGCCATATGCAGTACGATCCCCTCTCGGGATGCTGGGCAGCCGCAGCTCCCATTCAGCCCTGCGGTCACAAGGGTGAACAACAAATACACTACCCCATTCTGTACCCAGACGCCCGTTCTGTCACTGTCAGTACAGTATTCAGTGAATTACATGAGATAGTCAACACTTCAGTATAAAATAGGCTTTGCGTTAGCAGCTTTGCCCAACTGTGGGATAATGTGAGTGTTCTGAGCACGTTTAAGGTAAATGAGGCCAAGCTAGGATGTTCCGTAGGTTGGGCGGACTGAATGCATTTTCAACTTAGGATATTTTCATGCTTTCAACTTACGATGGGTAACATTGTACCAAGGAAGGCAACGAGCAAGATCTGTCTTTTTGTCTTCTGTGGGTCAGTGGCTTCTGTTTGCAGAGGGGCCTCCCAGCTTCCCAACAGTTTCCTCCCTTAATGACTGGGGTGCCCTTCCCCTGGGGCCTGGCTTGTCTGCCTCCTCATGGCCTCTTCCTCTTCATGTGCTCCTGTCCTGGCTCCCATCAGCCTCAGGATTAAGTGAACCCCTGATGTGCCCAGAGCACAGCGGCCCCGTGGCTGGCCGGGGGAGGCGTGGTCCCTGCAGCGGCCTCTCATTCCCTGGGGTTGCTACTCTTCTCCCATGACCACAGACCATTGTGATCTGTGACCACCTCCCATGGAAACTGTCCCCAGCTGCTGTTGTGAAGGAGCAGCGGGCACTCGTGCAGCCTCTGGGAACCGCCCCCGGGACGCAGGAGGAAACGGGGAGGATAGAACCCCTCGGCGCGGGGCTTGTGGCCAGAGGCCAGGCCCTTTGAAAGGAGACAGGCCCAAGATTCTCCAGGTCCTCTGGGGCAGAACTCCCTTATAAATGAATCCTGAAAGGTGTATGTTCTAGAAAAACCAAGCTTGCTTCTAAAGATGCCTTCATTTTCTGTGAGTGAAGGGGAGGGGAAGTCACAGAGTCCTGGCTTGGGCTTCCTCTGGAACTTCAGTATGGTGATCACATTCTTAGCTGCCTGTGAAGCACATAGCTTGTGCCAGGCAGTATCCAAGGACCCTCATCCACATGATCTTTTAGTAGCTGTATGAGTTAAGTAATGTCCCTATTTTACAAGCAAGGACAGTGGTCTAGAGAAGTGACAGGGTCTACTGCACATCACATGGCCAGGAAGTGCCAGAGAGCTGGGCTGCCAGGCAGCACTCTTCATCTTGCCTCTTATTCTACTGTCGGGGATCCCAAGGCTGCACGCTTTCTATTTCCTATTATGCCTTGCTTTTGAACAAATTGCCCAGAAACAAGCAGCCCAAGACCCCCTCTACTCCCCTAGAATCCAAGGCCCTGTTGCCTTTGAAGGGACTCCGCTGCCCAGAAGGGGCCCCTGGAGGAAGACGCTAGATGCCCTGGGATTTGATGGGAATGGGCAAGTCAGTGGCCCCCAGTCTGGCTGTTGTGACAAGCTCATCGCTGTTGGCCTGTCCCGGAGGGAAACAGCTCTGAACAGGGCTTCACCAGACAGACACACACACACAAACACAGCTCGGTGTGCTCCTCTGTGAAGTGGGTTTAGTGACTTCGCCGTGGCAGCGTTGGGCAGGTTGGGGGTGGCCGGAACGTTCTCAATTACCCGTCTAATCAAGATGGAATTTAAAATGGAAACGATTGTTAAGGACGAACCTGGGCGGCGGCGCTCCGGGGCCTAACCCTCCCGCCTGTCTCTCCCGCAGAGTCCAGCCCGCCCGCGCGCCTCCTGGCCACCCGGCCGTGCTGCGGGCCCGGCCCCGAGCGGCGCCCGGTGCTGGGCGAAGCGCCGCGCTTCCACGCGCAGGCCAAGGGCAAGAACGTGCGGCTGGACGGCCACTCGCGCCGGGCCACGCGGCGCAACAGCTTCTGCAACGGCGTCACCTTCACGCAGCGGCCCATCCGGCTGTACGAGCAGGTGCGGCTGCGCCTGGTGGCCGTGCGCCCCGGCTGGAGCGGCGCGCTGCGCTTCGGCTTCACGGCGCACGACCCGTCGCTCATGAGCGCGCACGACATCCCCAAGTACGCCTGCCCCGACCTCGTCACGCGGCCCGGCTACTGGGCCAAGGCGCTGCCCGAGAACCTGGCGCTGCGCGACACCGTGCTGGCCTACTGGGCGGACCGCCACGGCCGCGTCTTCTACAGCGTCAACGACGGCGAGCCGGTGCTCTTCCACTGCGGCGTGGCCGTGGGCGGCCCGCTCTGGGCGCTCATCGACGTCTACGGCATCACCGACGAGGTGCAGCTGCTCGGTAGGTGGCTCGACCTGGAGGCGCTCCGTGCGCGTTTCTCTAGCAGGCACAGCTTACAGAGGGCTCAGCTTGCCGGGCGTGGTTCTAAGCGATTTACACCCTTTAACTCGTTTATTTCTCACGACAACTCGCCACCCCGTTTGTTTGACAAACGAGGAAACTGAGGCACGGAGAGGTTAAGTGGGACTTGCATCGCAAAGCCGGGATTGGAACCCGCGGGCTGCGGGGGTCCAGAGTCCATGCTCTGGCCCAGGGTCACTTGCTCCTTCTCTCACCATTCTTCCATCCGTTCCTGTGCTCCTCTCTTCACTCCCGTGTTCATTTGCTCACTCACTCATTCATTCATTCGTGTATTCACTCATTCACTCATGTATTTATTCATTTGCTCATTCATTTGCTCACTCACACATCCGCTCACTCACTCACTCAGCACAATCAGCTTTGTGCCTTAATCCTCGAGTTTCTGTGCCACCAGGCAGTGAGCAAGCAGACACATCATCTCCAGGCCCTCAGGGTCCCCTGGGGATGCAGGCAGAGGAGTGTGGCCCCGACTCTGACAGGGGAGGTAGCCACTACTGCAGAAATCCTGGTGGTGAGAACTCGTGGGGAGAGAAGTTTTCTGCCCTTGAGACGGTATTTCTTTCTCTTTCTTTTTTTTCACTTTTTTAAATTGAGGTAAAATTCACGTAACATAAAAGTAACCATAAAGTGTCCAATTCCCTGGCATTCCGTTGGCAACCATCAGCTCTGTCTAGTTTCAGAACATTTCATCACCCCAAAGGGAAACCCCTCCCCGTTAAGCTGTCCCTCTGCCTTCTCCCCTCGCCCCAGACCCTGGCGACCACTGATCAGCTCTGTTTGTGACCTTAGCTCTTCAAGTCACAGTTGGGACCTCAGCCAGCCCAGCCTCAATTCCTGGGGGAGTAAACAGGGAGCAGGTTTCTCGGGGTCTGGACACAGCCCTCGATGCCATTTACCTGCAATGAATGCACAGATCTAAAGTCTGAGTTTCGGCAGATGTATCCAGTGTCCAGAACTCGCAAACGTTCCCACCAGCTGTTTGTGAGTCAGCCCTTCTCTTCCCCAGACGGGGCCACTGTCTGATTTTTCCCCATGGATTAGTGGTGCCTGTTCTTGAACGTCATATAAATGGCATCATACGGGGTATGTGCATGTATGTCTGCCTTCCTTATCTCAACACAGTATTTTTGAGATTCATCCACACTGTTGCTGTGTGTATCGGTAGTTTGTTCCCTTTTTATTGCTGAGTAGTATTCCGTGGTGTGGGTGTACCACAGTTTGCATATCTGAGTGTTTGGGTGGTTTCTGGTTTTTCAGCCCTGCATCTTGAGGGAAAACCCTGGCATGGACTCCTTGCCCACCACCACCTCCCACGCCACCACTGGGCAAGGAGGGAAGATGGGTGCATCCAGGCTCTGCCCTCCCCCTTAGCCCCCCCGTAGAAGGAAAGCAGCAGAACTTCTGAGTGGTTAAGAGCAGAGTGTTAGGAATCACATGGACCTCTGTTTCACACGTGGCTCTCCATTTGCCAGCTGTGTGGCCTTGGTCAGATGACTGAACCTCTCTGTGCCTCAGTTTCTTCCTCTGTAAAATGGGTTCATGATAGCACCCACCTCCTGGGCTTGTTGGCAGGGTGACATGAGATGGTGTGGGAAAGTGACGCAGCACAGTGCCTGGCACATGAAAGGCACTCAAGAAATAACAGTGAAGAAGTAAGAACCTCTGCCCATTTGCACGTGGGCCGAAGCACGTGCCTGAATTCCAGGCTCAGGCAGGCTAGGTTGTGAATAGCTACCCACCCCCCCAAGCTGGGGCCTTACTTGGGCTTTTTAACCACGTTCCCCCACACTCTTTTCCATGGAAGCTTTCGGCATTTCATCTCTAGGAAATGTGGGTTTCTAAAACCTCCTGGATCTCTGGTTGCCTTTCTTCGGAGCTCTTTATTCCTACGGAGCAGGGAGGCAATCACGCCTCACTCACCTGCTCCCTCAGACAGCCCGTGTCTCGGGGTGACAGCCAAGAAATCACAGCCACTCCATAATCAGTGCAAGTAGATTAGGAGTTTTTAAAAATACAAATTGGAAGCAGCCTCTGATGACTTAATGAGACTGAATAAACCGGTGAGGCGTCCTGGGCTCTTCCCCCTGTTCATTTGGTCACTTGACAAAGCTTTATGGAGCCCCTGTGACATCCCACCCCCTCGGAGGGAAGGGAGGGAGCCCACTGGCACACAGTGTAATGTGGCAGACGTGGGCCTCAGTTTCCTTTTCTGCAGATAGTTCCTGGGACTTGCTGGCTGATGGTGCACTGGCTGATGTCCACAAACATATGCATGAGGGGACATGACATCGGAAGGAACGCCATCTCTGGGTGATGGGATCATAGGTGAATTGCACTTGCTCCTTTATACCTCTATGAATTGTTTTTTTTTTTTTTAATATATATGTTAAAGAGCTTATATTGCTTTTACAGTCAGAAAGGGCAGTAAAGTTATTTTCCTCTCTGAAGGTTATATGAGATGATAGGGAAGCTTCTGGGACGTGATCAGGGTTCAATAAATGTTTATTTCCTTCCCGGGGGAAGGGCAAATTGACATTGGTTACATTTGGGTAAAGGGATAATGGGTGGGTTTTTTCCCTCCCAAGTTATCAACAAAGATTTATGATCAGGAAAAAGAAGTTATACTAAAAATAAGAAGAGAGCTAAGCAGTCATGATTTTGGATGATTTGAGTGCAGGCAACAGGTACTTCAGCACAGGGTAAGGCAACACGAGAACCACAAACATCCACCGTACCTGGGGCCCCTCCCTCCCGGTTCTGGAGTACTGGGCTCCTAGGGGTGGTGTCCAAGGTCCCAAATGGATAAATAAAAAGCAGACAGTGTTCACATTATCCGGAGCCCTCTGGCCTCCTTTTCCTCATGAGGAAGGAGGAAGTGACATGGTTGCTTTAGAGATTCTCAGCTGTGAGACTCCAGGAGAGAAAACTCCAGAATAGATAAAGAATCCAGGGTTCAGAGAAGGGAAGTGACTTGCCTGAAACCACCAGGCTTGTGAGTGGCAGAGCTGCGATGAGAACCCAGGTGCGGGGGGCCTTGGCTCCAGCCACACGTCGAGGTCACCTGGGAGCTCTGAAAACCCCACTTTCCAGGCTGCACTCAGACCAGTGAAAGCAGAACCTAGGGGTGGCTCCCAGGCAACTGGATTTCTTAAAGCTCCTCTGGTGACCCCAGGGCGCAGGCAGGGTTGTGATCACACGATCCTCTTTGCCTGGGAGCCTGTCCCTCCCCTGCTGGGTGCCAGGCTGAGTTCTTCAGACCTCTCAGTTCAGGGCATGGGATCATCCCCGGAGCACGCAAGCCCCGTCTCTTGTTCTGTGTGGCTTTGCCGCTGCGTCCCTAATCCCACTCCATTCATGCCTTCCCGTGCCCAGAGTGCCACCACTCTGGTGTTTGGCATAAGCCCTCGAGTGTGTGCATCTGTAAGAAATAAGTAGAGTTGTTTTATATGTATATATGGATGGTATTATGCTAAGGCTCTTATTCTGGTTTTCTTTTTTCACTTGCCCCATTTTAGGTTTTGTCTGTGTTTTTCTGGTTCCTTGTTCCCTAGCGGCCTCCCACATTGATGGGCACCCGGGTGGCCACGAGGCCCCCACCCCCACCCCCACGCAGACTGCACTGCAGGGCACATTCTGCCACAGGGCTGCCCTGGGGCCACTAGTTTACTGTTCTCTGGGGCACAGACCAGGATGGGCTTGAAGGTCCTGAGCCGTCCATCCTGAGAGCCTGTGATTTCTCTGGATGCTCCTCTGGACCAACGAGAAGAGGCTGAGCCCAGGCAAATTACTCCCTGCTGAATTCAGCAGTTCCTGGACCCAGGAGAGGCAGGTTCAGCCAGGCCACGCACGCCTTTCCCCCTTCTCTCCCTGGCTTTTTCTTCTCTGAGGAAGCCCCTCCCTGGAGCCCTGGAGCTTGGGCCCCCATGCTGTCCTGAGCCAGCCCTGTCCTGCCTCCAGGCAGCTCGGGAGTGGTTGGTGTCATAGCCCGGTTATCCTTCCTTTGGCCAGTGGTGGAAGGCTGGTCAGACCGAACAAGCAATGCCAGCCCAAGGCCACGGCACTGCTATGTTGTCAGAAATCTTTGGTTGCAAGTGACAGAAACCAGTTCAATCCTGCTTAAGCAGAAAATAATGATGATGATGATGATAAAAATAAAAGGGGGTGGAATTCTGTCTCATGTGACTGAAAATTCCAGGGAACGGCTGCCTGTAAGCCTGGCTTGATGCTGGGGCCCAAGAAACAGCACCTGGAATATTGGCCTGCCTGTATTTCCTGCTCCGCTGTCATCTTCACTGGGGTCATCCTCAGGCGGGCTCTCTCTTTGGGGTGGGGGCAAGGCCACCAGCAGCTCCAGTCCCATGTCCCACCAGCTTACCAGGTCCAGCAGGAGAGCTGCTTTCCCACGAGGTCCCCTAAGGTCTCAGGATCTAGCCTCACTGAGCTCCGTGGCCGGGGTGGGAGAGAGTGACCGGCCAGGTTAAGGCCCCCTCCTCAAGGGAATGAGTGGAAGTGGGGGTGGGGGTGGGGCAGTTCCCTCAAAAGAAAAGCTGGGAGCTGGGACCAGAAGGGGGTGGCTGCCAGGCAACCAGAAACAGCAGCTCTCCGCAGTCCTCGGAAGGGAGTCATTTACACATCTTGAAAGCCTCGAGCCGCTCTGTAAATTTAGTTCCTGGGCACCTACTGTGTGCCAGGCCCCATGCAGGGCTTTACCTGGGTGGTGTCTTCTAGTCCTCACAAGAATCCTGTGGGTGGGAAACAGTATCGTCCTCATTTGCAGGCTCGGCATGGATGGATAACGTGGCCAAGGTCAGCCAGCAGTCAGCGTTTGTTCATCAGTGTTAGGAACAAAGTGTGTGATAAGGGCTTGAACTTTTGGATCTAAACGCAGGGCCTAGGGGTCTAGTGCACTGCTCCATGCT